TTATACTGTTACACATCGGATGCACCAAGCAACACATGTCGAACTTGGGAGGCCTCGAGCTCTAGGATTGACTCGTATATTTACTTCTTTCAAATAAGATCTACCTGCTATGACCTCTGGGGTGTCAGCTGTCTATAGGTGGGTGTTCCTTATAACATATAATATTGGAATCCCCGCTGGAGCTTCCTCAAGCCCCGAAGACTTTGGTTTCACAGACTAGTTAGAGTCAGAATGACCAGGAAATGGAATATCCGCCTCAAATATATCTTCCATATATGCTGTGCGATGTCTGAGTAAGACTTTGTCCGTTCTTAGACCTAAAATGTGTATGCACGTTGACAAAGCCTTGAAGACCGATCTTATTTTTAAATTCACTGGAAAGCGAACCTCCTTCTTCACAATGCCACGTTCTTCTACTCATTGGTCCTCACTTCATTGCAGGAACTTGCTGAGTGACGCAGTGAAGCACCCCACCAGTAAGGGGGATGGCGTTGGCATACACCTGCCGAATCACCCGCTCAGGGAGCAATCGCTGAAACATTTCCAGCGCCTTTTGATCCCTTTCTTCGTCACCGAATTTGGGGATAATCAGGCCTCCATTAACAAAATAGAAATTCACATAACTCGCCGCTAGTTCGTCGTGATCGGATTTCACCAAGCCTCGTGGGTCCGGCTCTTCAATGGTGTGGATCTGCAAGCGCCGACCCTTAGCGTCTGTCTCGCGGTCCAGAATCTCTCGGATCTCCGTAGACAGCTCCTGCCACAGGTCAATCGCAATAGGATGTGGTTTTGAGTAAGCGATGACACCAGGACGCACGAATCTTGCCTCAGCGTCCATATGCACGTCGGTAATGTCGACATTGCGCCGCCCTGGGAACCAGATCACCTTTTCAATCCCGAGCAGCCGCTTCAACTCCGTCTCGATCTCGGCCTTGGACATCCCTGGGTTGCGCACATCACATACAATGCTACTCTCCGTGATAAGCAGCGTTCCTTCGCCGTCGGTAACGAGCCCGCCGCCCTCGGCGCGAATCGGAGTCTCGATCTGCGTAACGGGGCTGGGCTTGCGATCGTGCTCGATTACCCACTGCGCAAAATTGGTGTTTTCCTGTAGTGCCTTGTCGTTCATCACAGGCCATCGCTGACCCCAGCAGATCCCGTCGTCTTCGGGTTTCTTCCCGCCCCATTCATTGAACCGGAAGTTGATTGCGAAGCGTCGATTCGGGAATGCGCCTGTCTTGTCGCGCACGTAGACTGGTCCTGTGTCCCGGACCCAGCAGTGGTTGATTGGACAGGGGATAATAGATATTTTTGTTATGTCTTTCACGAAAGTCTGGACTAGGGACTCGGCCAATGGGATGTCTTCGGGCCTCACGTACAGCCGAACCGGTTCGAATTCAGTGATCGCCGCCGCTAGTTGAGCTAATTCATTGCACATGGCGTCACACTGATCCGGGGGTAAGGAACATTGAGATGGTAATCCCATGATTGTCGCTTCATGAGGCTCTGACTCTGCTGGGAAGATGTAGCTGCCTTGAACTTTGCTTTCATCACTGCTGATATGAGAGGGTTTGAACCAGGTACGTGTGGTAGTATATAAGTTCGACAGAAATTTGCGGAATCGCTCGAAAAGCTTCATATTGATGGTCGCTCGTGAATTCTCACTCTTCTCGTGTCAAGCTGGAGTTTCTCTCCTTCTTAAAGATGCAATTCGGTTGCCTTAGTCCTCATGATTCTCGCACATCATCTATTTTGTGTAACTATGACTGCTTCATGTTACTCACAGTTTCGAAGTTGTGTTCTTGGTACGGAGTGGTATTTCCATTAAATCGGATTCATATAGAAAGGAACCCGGCGGAAGAGATGTCAAGAAGAAATATATCCAAACGACCGAATAGCTAGACTTCACGTTCAGTGATACGAAAGAATAGTAATTGAAATATCTCATCTCACTTGTCATGGTCTCAAAACAAATGCAATAAAAAGCCACGCTTGTGCTACTATATACAGCATGACGCATGCTACTCCGTCAGCAGGGGTTCACGTTCCATCTCCTCATCGGCAGACTCAGTCCAGGAGACTTCTTCCATAGGACCACTGAGCCACAACATAGGTATAGCCGTAACTGCAGAAAGAACTCCCAGTGCAAGAGTCATAACTTTCCAACCGTATCGGAACTCCACGAATCCACCTACCATAGGTCCTAATGCCAAACCGCCAAAATGTGCCATATTCTCTAAGCTAAAAGCTTGAGCCACGGCACCTCTACCCCCAAAGACCCCCGGGTCTCCAGCTTCCATGTCATCCAGGACACGCTGCATCTCCACTATCAAGGCTGGCTCGCTTAAGTCGATGCACATTCCAACAAGACACAGAATCACACAAAGAAGACCTATGTGGGATGGTGAGTTTTCCTCAACAAAACGAAGACAGATCAGGCTCGGGGCTAGAATGGCAAAGCTTGCGAATGTGATCACTCTCGCTCCAAGACGGTCAGATAGAAATCCTAGAAAGTAGGTCAGATCATGCAACATAGTTCGATAATATGAGGTCAGTTACCAAAAAAAGGTTGGAAAATAGCAGCTGCGGCACCTGGCAAGAATATCAGACCTGCGCCTAAAACATTCCAGTTGAATGTGTTCTCCACAAATATTGGGAGTGTCTATATAGCAGTGTCAGTACATTCCAATATAAAAGACTGAATTCCATACCGCATCGAATGCCGAGACCACAAGAGCGCCGACTGTAACTGCCCAGAGGCTAACAAGAATCCGGGGCTGCTTCAAAAGCTTTGCCAGCGCAAAAGTACTCTTAGAAATTTCCGTGGTCGTATCCCTAGTGCGTATAGTCTCCAAAGTTCCGTATGGCGGCTGCTCGGGGATATAACCATTCTCCTGGGTTGGCCGCTCGCCATCAGTGAGACACAGCCAACGTTGAGCAATCCTCTTCTCGACAACAGCGAGTCTAAGAAAGAAGTCAAGAGCAACGATCCCGAAAGCCATACCAAAAACGGCGTAGAATCCTCCAAGTTCGTAGACCAGCCCGCCCAGCAGTGGACCAGACATAAAGCCCAGTGTCATGGCGGTGCCAAGATACCCAATCATCTGTCCAAGACTCGCTTTATCTACTGCGTCTGTCACAATTGAAAGACCAGCTACCGAAACCATGGCCGTTGCTGCGCCTTGGAGCACCCTGGCGATGATATACCATGTCACTGAGTGCGAAGCTGTCAAGATGACCATAGATGCGAACAATAGCACGAGTCCGGATAGATAGGGGCCCTGGCGTGTTCCAGAGACGTCAAGTATGTATCCGAACATCGGACAGCAGGTAAATGCCGAGACAGCTTCGGCGATGAGGAGGACACTGTTCCAATATTCTCCTATCAAAAGAGGTAGCTATTAGCAAATGATTATCTGTCCTCGTGAATCTTCGTACTGTCTTCGAATGCTACCCCAGCTCGTGAAACTAATGCCTGCGGCATGACGGGGACAATCTGCAGCGGTCAGGTAAATATCAAAGGTACTAGTCAGAGCATGTATACCATAGCGTAGAGAAAAAGATCCTATATGATTAGCTGAAGCTTAGTTTGTCTGAACAGGGAATCGGGGAGGATACCGTGAACATTGACAGCGAAATCGTCGTCACTATAAAGGATTGCGACGACCTCAGCGGCAGCAGCCATGGCCGCTGGTCGCGAAGCTTCAAAAATGGCTTCGACCAAGTCATGATTAGTGACCTAGTTCAAACACTGTGCGAATGGTATGAGGGTGGGAGTTGAATAGGTGGGCTTGTTCTTCTTAATGTTCTCTTTCTGTATGCAGTCCAAAATTTAATCTGCGTTAGCGACCGCAATTGGGTAAAGATTCTGGTTGATGTGTTCAATTGTACTCCGTAGCTGCATTTGCAATCTGTTTTTGCGCTAGACACTGCAAGGGAGATGCTCAGATCACTGCTGATCTCTGGGGCACTGTGGCTTAGATGTGTGAATGACGTTGCTGCATCACATACAACATATAGATTTGACAATAATAATGAATATAGATGCCTATCATCAATCTCAATTCCAACATTTCAAAGGGAAACCGCCGGAACCCTAGGTCGGACAGGTGTCTTCATATGTATATCTCTGGCCACAAACCAACTCTGTGAAACGCAATGACATATCTCGGGAGAATTTGAGCAATGGGGTTTTTATTATTGCGTAGTCGAGCTAGTCTTTGCGCGCTGTGCTGAAATAACTTGCAATATGTTCACCAGCACATAGTACGCCTGTATAACCAAGGCCGTGAACTTGGGCTGTCCACTATTTTTAGCCATGGTAAATATTGCAGTTTCTCTCGATAAATCAGACCTATACGACATAGCAGGCTCTCTTTCCTTCCTCTCTTAGCTCTTCTGCACCATCTATCAAGTTCCTGGCTGTTTGGCTACATTGCTTCTTAGGGACTGCGCGGTAAAAACATGAACTCAATGTAGATGAATCGAGTTACTCCATGGTTCCATCGACCTAGCCGATCTGGCAAATATCTCCGTGATAAATGGATCCCAAGAATAGGAGCCTCGACGTTATTTCCCGATCCTACTTTGTAGGTTACGGAGTAGGTCTGTTTACATCAGTTTGAAAAGACGTTGGCTTCTTCCAACATACCTTGAGCGGTTACTAACTATCAGGAGATTCGCACTCGTTGGATCCATGATTAACTGAAGAAAGTATAAATTTAAGCGAATAGAATACTCTAAATGTAGCGAACTGGCGGGAGACTGTGTACGCCGTCATCTTCCCTTGACTTCTACCCCCTTCACGTAGTTACAAACAAAGTCCCACACAGAGTCCCAGCAGCTATAGGCGACTGGTCCCCGTTTCCTTTCCCGATACCCATACTGATACTCGCCATCTTTGACTTCTTTTCCCGCCCTCACCTTACGCTTCTTCCAATCCCTAGGGGGAATAATAAAATGATAAGCTTCATTGTATCCGATGCCGAACTTGAGTTGGATCAGCTGTAGTCTCCCAGTTCATAACGGAGATAACCATCGTCACCTTCCTTTATGGTGATATCCTGAATGCCAGGTATACCACCCTCGAAGAAGTCCGGTCTGCTCTTGAATCTATATGATCTAGTCAGCCGTGACTTCTATGGACATAGGCGTTCTTTCCGCAAGGGCATGGAAGTTGCAATACTTACCCGTTCGCCACCCGAACCATCTCCTTGAAATCAGCGGGCAGCTCACCGACTTTCTTCTCCGCTGCAGTGATTTCCTCCTTCGTGGCAGGCTCATACAAGAGGTCGTTGGCGTTCTTGATGCCCATTTCTTGATACTCTTCGTGGTGGAGATGCCATACCCCCTCCGCAAGTCGATTCAATAACTCGCTCCATCCAACCTTAGTTGGGTGCAGTTCCCGATGTCCCCCATGCTTAGCCCGTAGCTCCAGCACAGCAGTTATCTCCCTCACCATACCCACTGCATCCTGTTTTGGGATGGAGAAAGGATTGCTTTCTTTCCCACCACGGGCTAATAGGGGCAAGACATCGAAGATACCAGGCACCATCAAAAAGTCCTTCAAATTGCCCCCTTCAGTAAACATATCATGTGAGCGCTTGGCCAAGGATGTCCGCCGCTGTTTGCAATACTCCTAAGTGTATCGCCAGCTCAATAGGCAACCGCCGGTACAGTAGATGTGCGTGTCTTCTCGGCTCATTGGACTTCCAAGCCCACGCTTCCTTGGGTATGTCCGGTGTTGCATAGAGTTTCTGCGCCACCTCGAGTGCTTCACGAGCTAAATTTTCGGGCGGATAAGTATACCGGGTGGTTGTTTTCGCGAGTAGTCGTGCACACGTCGCCAACGTGGCTGGGTCATCTGTTTCGCGCCATACAGAAGAGGGGCTCTCATTGTCCATGAATTCAACGTTCCACTTCGAATAAGTACATTGCGCGTAATTACTCCATTGCTTTTGGCGCAGCGACATTTTATGATTGTCATCTCGAACGGAGTGTGGTGCCCTTTGAGGTCGGGGGAAGACTGATTGGTTCACATTCCAAAAAACCTCTAGAGTGGAAGGTGTGTCTATCTTAAAGTCACGTTTCTTGCCATTGTCGGTGAGTTCGAAGTCTCTTACCAACGTATACAGCGTCGAGGCGATTAAATGGGCCTCGGTGAAGTGGCTGGACAGGATCAGGAGTTCGGTTAGACGGAGGATATCAAAAATGGTGATTGTGCTGTCTTCTTCGTAGATATAGCGATTGATCAACCTTGGGAGTGACCTTTGCTCTGTTTGACCTTCAATGCGCGATCCTGTCCATTGGATAGACATGTTGTGCGGATGACCCTCTTGTACGTAGAGTTTATTTATGCTTACAGGTGTAAGCGTGTGTTCATTCTTGACACCCACAGTTTCAAAAGAGTACGCGGAACAGGATAGAGCCGTCAGTGTTACGTATACGGCTCAAGGGTCTTACCAAGAATTGTGGCCTGATAATTTTATACAGAGATTAATTGGAACATGACGGCTGCAGCCCTATACCGTTTAGTGGGTCATGGTTTTGTTACTCTGGAAGTCGATTTAAGATGAGAAGAAGGTCAAAAGGTTTATGTATTAGGTGAGATATTAGAACTTCTCTGTGAAGCATCACAATAGAAACGATCTCAAACAAACGGACTAACAAGTATGGAAACAAAGTATACCACATAGCTCCTGTAATTTTTCCATCGTGCAAATCTGACTAACTCCAAAGCGATGCGCTTAGAGAATGGAGCCAAGGGCAACACAAGGAAGACCGGCACCGACAAGGTCGTTGCTGGCGGTGGAGGGTGAGTTGGCGCAGCAGGCAATGTTCTGCTTGCACTGCTGGTTGAGGAGATCCTGGACACCGACACCAATGAGGACAGGGACTGGAGCGGGTTAGTGAGGGAGTTGACAAATGTATAGAATAGTAAATCTTACCCTGGAGGTCGAGCTTGGAGCACTGGTCAAAGACACCAAGGCCGGAAGCACCAGAGCCGGAACCGATGAGGTTGGAGAGGGTGCCGGTGAGGATGCCAGAGTTGATGTCGGTGGTGTCACCGGCGTAAGTGGCCTTGTTGCAGCAAGAGAGCTGAGCCTGGTCACCACACTTGGACTGGGCCTGCTGGACAGTCAGGCTGTCGGGAACGGGGAAGCGAGGAGCGCCACCGTTCTGGTGCTGGAGACCATTGTTCATGTTCTCAGCGGGCATGGCAGCGGAGAAGCCAGCGAGGGCGAGGACAACGGCGGAGAGAGTGAACTGCATCTTGAAGGTAGAGGATTGAAAGATTAAAATCTTAAAGATATAAAAAGGATTCAGGAGGTTTGGAAGATAGAAGGTTGAGAGAGATAGAGAAGTAGAGAGCTGATGGATGAAACAATTAGTACGACCTGGTGCTCGCCTTTTATCTTCCATTCACAGTGCTTGGGCACGAGGTGATCTCCCAGTATTCATGGTGCGGGCCAAAAACAACCCTCCCATTTTTGCGGATGGAATGTAGAACGCAAGGGTTTAGTCCCGGGCTTGCCCCGATGATCTCCACCTCCTAGCAATATCATTGGCTCATCCTCGATTCCCGGAATTTAACAATCAATGAGATGCTCCCCCTTGGCCCCTGGAGATGCATGGGTCCTGCATTCCGCCCTGTCAGTGGTATCTGTCAAGGTTACCTTACGCCCTGATTCAGTTCTAGGATGTCCAATCCTGGCTTACATATTTTGTAACCCTGCGAGCCTCACATGAACCCCTAATTGAACGAGAGCGAGCATACACGTACATTAAATTAGAGATCCGGATTCAGAGTCCTTCTAGAAGTGACCAAGGCGTGGACAACCTCTACCGATGAATTCCTACAGTTTCAAAAGCTGCCCATGCGCAAATATTTGACCATGTATTGTCTTTATCGCTGATTAACATACCTTGGGGGCGTTTGGGGGCGTTTGGGGGCGTTTTGGGGCGTCCTGATGGCAGAAATTGTCCGATATGGTGCATCTTATTTTCATTCCAGGCATAATTAGGGCAGCGTGTCTTTGCGGCACTTTCTACCTTGTTGTATCTTTGCAGTCATGCGTAAATCATAGTAGAGACCCCGTTAAATTGCCGTCCCTTATCCATACTTGGATCCACCGTCTACCTATCTCTCAGTCCCAGGGAATTCGAGATCGTCGGACCCATGTCGATCATGGTTACTTCAAATTTTCCACCCTGCTCCCAGGCATAGCGTGTGATGTTACGATGGGCAACCGCTGATCTACACTCTCCCTTCTCGATGCAAAATCAAAGCATCATGGAAAATTGCAATGTATGGAATTGCAATGTATGGGCCTTCAGCATGTTCTCTCCGTCAGGCTTGGTCTAGATCGAACGTTTTCGGGTCTGATGATTACAGGCTATGGGATGCCGGGTGATCCTAATCAAATTGTATTTCATTGGAGAATGAATTGTATCTTGTAATAGGAGCTCGAACTGTACCTTGTCTTAGCTGAACTCCACGTCCAAGAAGTTGTGTCTGGTGTCTGTCTACGATGTGTGTAGAATTCAGTAATCGGGGACATCTCTCGGTCTTCGAGCATTAATGAATAATACCCTCGCAGTAAGCATACAATTTGATAATATATTCAATACTAGTAGACTCATTAGGAAATGCTTGAAATGATTCCGGTTCTTATATGCTGTAGTGTGCTATAATACCGATGTAGATATATATCTCCAACAAATGCCGAAACCAGAGATATTATCCCGCCCAGATTTAACTCTTTAGATACCATATGCTAAATTATGGATCAAAATTCATTGCTTAGTTCTACTCATATCTTTTTAATTAGACCATTGACGATTGAGCCTTAATGCTTCAATGGAGAAGCAGTTCGTCCGCATCGGGAGGTTGTTCATCCGCCACTAAACCACTTTCGGCTTAGCGTATGCCACCGGTCTACCTGTATTCCGTACTTTAACCTCACTTTGCTACCTGAGTCGGAGGCGGATAAATATCAAAGGGTCAATATGAGTCCGTCGAGAGGACGTTATATACCGATCGCTAGTATAAGGATGCTTGAATCATTAGGGTTCTATCATCAACATTACAATCCATTTCGAGCTCTGCAATACAAGCAAATCCCAAGCTCCAACCCGCTCTAAAATTCATAATTTGAAACCCAAAACCTAAAACCATCAAATTCTAGAAATGAAAACCATTGCATTTTTCGGAGCAACCGGCGGCTGCACCAACGTATGCCTGACCTACACCCTTCTCAACGGCTACAACGCCAGAGCGCTAGTCCGCACGCCCTCAAAACTCACGACACTGCTCCTCTCACAGCCTGGCATAACACAAGAGATTCTCTCTCGCCAGCTGGAGATCATCGAAGGCGACGCAACGGATGTAGAAAGCATCAAGAAAACCCTCGTCACCAACTCCAACGCACCCAATGACGCATGTACTCTCGTAACAAGCGTGATATCCGGCCTGGGCGGCGCACCGACAATATCCTTCACCAAAGAAACAAAATGCGCAAAAACTCAGATCCGTACTCCTGCTCTGCCACACATTAAGCTCTCAAACCCGCATATCACCGAACAGTCGACACGCGCGCTGCTGACGGCGCTGGCGCAGATTGCTTCTGAGCGGTTTGCCTCGCTCGGGGCGTATCGTGCCGTTGCACCGCGGGTCACTGTGATCTCCACCACAGGGAGTTCAGGTAGTAATCACGATGTGCCATTCTGGTTCAGACCTATGTACTCTGTGCTCTTGCCGATTCCGCATGCGGATAAGCTACAGATGGAGAATTTGCTTGATGAGGAGGTTGGGCTGGGCTGTGCTGGGGTGCTTGCTGCTGGAGTTGTTGTTGTGAGGCCCAGTCTTTTAACGGGGGATCATCGGGTTCCTACTGTTCGTGAGGGGGGGAAGGGGGGTGAAGGGGTGGGGCTGGAGAAAGTGAGGGTTGGGACGGAGAGGGCCCCTGCTATTGGGTATACGATTTCACGGGCTTTGGTTGGGGAGTGGATTTTTGAGGAGATTGTTAGGGGTGGTGGAGGGAAATGGGTTGGGGAGAAGGTCACTATCACTACTTGAGCTTTTGGCCTTCTCTTGGTTTCGTGAGATTCACATATTTTTCGTTGTTTGAGAAGATATCTACGTTGAGTGCATACCTGGAAATGTCACATATTTTTGCATCAAGTACTCAAAAGATCAGCTGTATTCAAAGATCAACGTTATATACCGCAAAATCACAAGTCACTGCATTGTATCGGCTAAGAGCAAAACGCCCCCGTAGGCCAGAGAACAAAATGACAGAAAGCAAATATCATCCCTACGGGAGACAATGAAACTCCGTATAAAACCAATGACAAAAAAAAAGCATTATTAACATCTGATGATCTGTACAGGTGGGGCAAACCTTCCTAATGCCCATTTCATGACGTTCGTGAGAGAGAACATGGAACTTGCTGTGATCAGGTGCCGCCATCCAGCGCTGAGCGGTCGATATGAGCACTAGAGCGGCCAATCTGAGCACTGGAACGGCCAATCTGCGCACCGGGCCGCTCGATTTGGGTACTGGTCCGCTCAATCTGAAGACTGCGGCGTTCCTCCTTGATCCTCTTCTTTTCCATCTTCCTCATGGCTTCTTGGGTCAGCTGTTGGCGGAACAGCCGTTCGACAACATCCTTCTTTCGGGTGCGCCGATCACCGATCATGATCATCACACCACCTGAGATGTTACAAGTGATGGAGAAGCAAAGGATAACCGTTGTTAGAGCGAATGGGCGCCTATGGGGGTCCTCCATACTCCAGGTACAGGCACCAAGAGCCATTTGGAGTATAGAGTGACAGTCGAGGATGACGACAATAGCGATGAGTAAGCGTAGAGGGAAGGCGTGGTGGGTCATAGTTTCGTGCGGCTTATAGAAAGTATGCGACTTTGCGAACTTATTCTGATGATGCATCAATCGTAACTGTTGATGAGCACTGAGAACAGAAAATTCATGTTCCTCTTCCTTGACTGCTTCACCAAATTCAACGTCGGCGTCGGTCTCCGGCTTCGACGGAAGATCGTTCTTATCCTTGAGGCTTGGAAGGGCCCGCTTCTGACGAAGTTTCCAAGACTTGAGTGTGTAATGGGCAATGAAACTCATGTGATATGTATCCACGGCGCGGAAAGGAGCCAGTCCGTCACCCATGATGGCGAACAGAGCAACTAAAATGTTATCGATGATATTGACAACATAACTTTGTCTGGCACCGAGATTGATCCAACCTGAAGTGACCGTTAGCATAGTAGATAGAAAGTATTAGGTCAGAATATCTCACCAATCAAGAAAAGAACCCAGGCCAGACCGAACAGAGTGATCAAAGTTGCGTAGAGAGTCACAAGAAAGCCGAGGGCTAGGCGACATTAGTATTAAGCAAAAACGTCTTGGCGAGGAATTTCTCTCACGCTTCTTTATGTATTGCCTAAATCCTTTCATGGCCCGTTTGAACTTGGACCGCCGAGAGTGAAGCATGTGTCGAACATGATCATTTAGTTCAGCATAATCTTCTCTACTCCATCCTTCAACCTGCTCTCCTGGAAGAACGGCATACTTGGGACCAGGCAACACCGAGGACATGCTCGTGAAATGGACTTGTTCTAAATTCGGCCGCTCCTTAAGCTTGTCATCGGACAGTTCATTGTCGTCCGTTGCAGTTCCCGGTTCATCATCTGAAGAAGAATATTGTGGCCGTGTAATCGTATATGTGGGCATGCGATTGACGAAACTACCCAGATTCGGCACGAAGAGAGAGTTTTGGACGTTGGTGAGAGTGGAAAGCGCGGAAACCTCGGGATCTAGGTTCGGACAAGTTAGAAATATGGTTCTTGTATTACACTTGATATCAATGCTTACCGATCACGTCCAGCACATCGACCACGTGAGATCCATACTCATCCTGGCGTTGCTCCTCCTGTTGCGTGCTCAGAGTTGGTGCAGTCCCTGTCACTGTGGCTGCACGGTTCCGACTAAAGCGATTCATCGCAGCTTGACTGCTTCGTCTAAGCCGGCCCGGTCGCACTGGGGCGGGAGGGACCTCGCCTTGCTCCAGATCAGGTTGGTCACAGTCGGACCGAGCCCGGCCAGGCAATATTGCGGCTGGAGAAGGGGGTGCCGGACTTTGGTGTGAGGCTTCCTCGGTCAGAGGCAACATCCGCATAGGGGTCGCCACTCGAGAGAGGCCATCAGTAGGGGGGAATGGCCATTGTCCTGGATTTGGCTCCGAGTTACTGCGTCGTCGGTTTGCCAGCCATGCTTCGTCCTCTTCATTGGGGGGAGGGGACGGGATGGGCCTCGGCTCAAAGGACGATGGTGGTCGACTCCCTGATTGAGACGCCGGTTGATTGGCGTTGTCGAGTGAAGCGAGAGATGGGAAGCGAGACAAGCGAATACTCGGTCGTCGCATTCGTGAGTCGCCCCGAGAGCGTAACGAGCCAAGGCCCGGCCTGACGGGGCCAGACTCTGTGGGTTGCCCTGTGGGTTGGATCTCCTGAGGATTTCCATTAGAGATCCTGGGATCCTCGACCGGGTCGATAGGATCCATCTTGCTGCAACAAGTTTTGCTGCAGCAACAAGTTTCAGGAGGTTGGGGACAAGATCATACAATAAAGGTAGCCCCCGGGACCAAAAGAAAAAATAAGAGTTAACCAAGGATCTGAGACTCCCGAGTCCCTCGTTAGTCCCCGGACGTTCTGGATCTTCGGGGCGGTTCACGTCCCAGGCTGACTCAGCTCTTCCCGAATCTTGTTTTTTCTTTCTTTCCAGTGACGAGCCAGTGGAGTTTACAAGTCCAATATCACGCTAAATTGACGATCTTTCTTTTTCCGTTATGGAGATCTCCTTTTAATGTTGAAGGTCAGGTATCAATTGCGTAAGTCCTGAATTGGAGCCACCTAAATGGACTACGGCGATGGAGTTTCTGCCTGATATTCAAGGTGTCTAGACGCCTCATGCGGCGATGGCGATAACCGGTCATCAGAAGATAACCATGTAGATCTATATCGTGCGTTACGACATATTGTACAACTTTCTATATGTCTTTGCTGGCAATTAACAGGGTTCAAGTCCATAACAACTTGTTCCGTAGGTCAATTCATTGCATGACCATTTTAGGGTTCTCATTAATTTATGGCTAGGGAGATGGTACGCATTAGATAACGAGTTAAAACAACCATAACAATGAGCCCTGCTCTATCTTTAAACTATTTCTCTCTCAAGGCACAATATTTAAAAGCTTTCGTTGTCTACGGAGACGTACACGGAGTGAAACAAGCATGCGATAAACTCAACGGCTTCAATTTCCAGAACAAATACTTGGTCAGTACGTGCATATGGATCAAATGAGTATCGGTAATTATTTGAAGATGACCAACTTTGGATGTTATAGTCCTGTATCATATATCATCGTGACACTGGTGGTTACCGCTACATTGTAGAAGATAAGGGCCCGTGTCATTCTAAGATATACATCCTATTCATTAGTGCCAAATTCAAGATGCATACCGAGGCATAGTTGACATGCGATCAAATCAGACCGAAGTTGTTCATGAGGAATGACCTTGAGTTGGCCAATGTTTTTAAAACTCGGGTTGATGAGGAATTAACCGACAGAGATAGGCCAAGGGCTAGATTGTGTTTCTAAATCGGAGCTGGCTTGAGCAGAGATTATTACTTGTGAGACGACTACATAGTGTGTAAGATCATTGGTGTCACCTGTGTAGTCTGGCCTAATACTTGTATCCATGACCGAATAATTCTGGTTGCATAATAAAGTTCGTAAACAATATTGTATATCCATGTCGGCCATTTTCTACAATCTATAATGTAAGATGAACCCGAGCCAAGCCGTGGAGAACATGAAGTGGAGATAAATGTTGGAAGATCTTGAATTATTTATAGGACCTGTCACATCTGCATATCATCTAGATTCTGCACATGTGCATAACGTGCAGAGCCGAAGGATGAGATGAATAAAATGGACTAATCGAGTGGAATAATATAGAAAGGACGAAAGCCAAGAACCGATTATGATTGGCGGGAAGCCCTAGAAAGTCCCTAGAATGACATCAGGTCAGCTGTTCTGAGTCAGGCTTTCAGGTAAGGCGGGGCTGGTGTTTAGGGCCTAAAGGCGGGACCTCAGGAGATTCTGGGGCTCAGCGCCTAACAATAGGGGCTGGTTGGGGGGAAATAGGGGTAACGTAGGGCAGGGGGCTAGGGGGGTACCTACGTGAACAGCCCCCCAGTCATCGAGGGAAGTACCTCGATTGCACCTGTCGTTGTCATTTCGAGCTCTCACTGGGCTAGTGCCACACCGCCTCTCCTTTCCCATTTCCATCTCCTTCTCCCATCCTCCTCTTTCCTCTCTTCAAGATCCAGTTCATCCAAACTTCAATCCCATCTTCTCTTTTCAATTGGTATCTAGGGCACGAAGCTACCCTGCTCCTTCCCCCCGCTCCACCTCCCGTCAAGTCTCTTTCAGCTTTAGGCAAATAAACAACCCGACTCTTTTCATCCTTTAATATCTCAACCTTCAAGATGTCTGAAGTCGATACACTTGCTGACTCCGTGGCTGCGACCACTCTGACCGATAAGCCCGAAATCAACGGTGCTACCCCTTCCACTCAGGCAGCTGATGCCGCGGCTGCCAGTGCAGATGAGGGTCGTCGTCTTTACATCGGGAATCTCGCATACGCGACAACCGAGGACGAGCTTAAGGAGTTCTTTAAGACCTACACTATGTGAGTACTTCCCAAATTAGTGTTTTCGTCTGAACTGTTTTCGTCCGAACAATCAATCAATCCCACCTGGAGCAAACATTCAATCACGTGGCACCATCATTTATGGGACCATTTCTAACTCCTTTCGTCTTAAAGTGAGACCACCTCGATCCCGGTGAACCCCCGCACCAACCGTCCCGTTGGCTATGCATTTGTGGATATCGCCACCGCCCTTGAAGCTGCTGCTGCTATCGAGGCCCTTTCTGGCAAGGAGATTCTTCAGCGCAAGGTGTCCGTGCAGCTTGCCCGCAAGCCCGACATCGCCGAGCCCAAGGAAGGTGCTGTCAGTGGTGGTGAGGGTGCCGAGGCTCGCAAGCGTGCTGCTGGTCGCGGCCGTGCCCGTGGCCGTGCCCGCGGTCGTGGTGGCCGTACCGGCCGTAGCCATGCTGTATGTGCCAAATATCTTTCCTTGCTTGAATCTACGCATATCGACACTTTGAAATGGATGCTGACACTCCCGAAGGCCCAGGAAGGCCAGGAAGCCACCGAGGCCCCTGCCAGCGAGACTCCTCTTGCTGACACCACCAACGATAAGGATACTGGCTCCAAGGCTGGTGACGCCCGCGCCGCACGCCCCCAGAAGCAGCGCGGTCCTCCCGAGGATGGCATTCCTTCTAAGACTAAGGTCATGGTTGCCAACCTGCCGTACGACTTGACCGAGGACAAGGTGGGTTATATCTATTCCTTTCGTCTGATCTCTCCTTTCGTCTCATCTCCGTCTGGGGTTACATTGACTGACATTATTTTCTCTATTTAGCTCAAGGAGATCTTCGCCGCCTACGAGCCCGTCTCTGCCAAGGTCGCCCTGCGTCCCATCCCCCGTTTCATGATTAAGAAGCTGCAGGCTCGCAACGAGCGCCGCAAGACTCGTGGCTTCGGCTTCGTCAACCTTGCCTCCGAGGAGCTCCAGGCCAAGGCCGTCAGCGAGATGAACGGCAAGGACATTGATGGTCGTGTCATCGCCGTGAAGGTCGCCATCGACAGCCCGGGTAAGGAAGATGATGATATTAACGCTGTGGCTGAGACTGAGGAGACTGCTGCTCCTGCTTCTGATGCTGCCTCTGCTCCTGCTGCTGCTGCTCCTGCTGCTGCTGCTCCTGCTCCTGCTCCTGCTGCTGATGCGGCTGGTGCGGCTGATGCTCCCGCTCCTGCTGCTGCCAAGGAGAACACTGCTCCTTCCGTCCCCACTGAGGCTTAAATGCCGCACAAATTGCACTCGACTGAACGGGGTACTTGTTAATTGGCTTTAAGGTTGAGAAACAGAAGGGGACTCAACGGAGCATCGTATCGATATGACCATAGTGCTCTGCAAACCACAGATCATTGTGAATATCTTAGCTACTCATCGATTGCGGGAGAAATGGGGAGAACCCTGGTGGGGTTGGATTCATGACTTTATCGGACAACATGGATCAGCCGACCATGCGAGGGAGCCATCTTAGCTGATGTGCTCTTCGTCCTTAACGACTTTCTTTTTTTTTTTCTTCGCCTTCTGTATTGTACCTTTAGCACACATTTACTAAATGATGACGATCTCCACCTGGCGTATTCGATTTAAGAGTAATTCCTGTACACCTATACAATAGACATGCGGTCTACGGAGTATACAAGTGGTTGTGCCCGATTTGGAGATGACGCGAAGTCCGATCCTTGCCGATCAGAGGCAAAACATAGAATTTGTATTCTTTCACTTCTCTGCAGTTGATTTTCATTCTATCGAGCCAGTTCCATTAGCTTGTGTCTTCAGTGTCTTTCAGTCTCCGCACAACTCCATCGAAACGAGAAAAAGGGGTAAATTATTCAACATCGGTGCCGCCTCGGTCAACCCTACAACATCTTAGCGCACACCATTATTTGGATTGCGTCCCTCAACGTCTCACCGTCGGCATTGTATATTAACCCACTATGTCGCGCATGTGGGAAGTCGACCCGGAAACGAGGACAAAGGTGTGCCAGGTCAATTCCGCAACGCGCCATGGTCACTGACACAAACATGTGCCACAGCTCCTCCAAATCTCCAAGACGAACGGAAATGACAAGTGCTGCGATTGCGGTGCCCCATCGCCTCAATGGGTATGCTTTATCTCTTCCTCTTGCCTATTGCCCTGATATTATCTTCGAGAAGCTTTATCACCCCGAACAACCCATACAAACCCCGCAAACCACACACCCTGCTAACTCTTTGCTTGCTATTGGCACATCAACTAGGCCTCCCCGAAGTTCGGAACATTCATCTGCCTCAACTGCGCCGGCACACATCGCGGGCTAGGCGTACACATCTCCTTTGTCCGTTCGATCACCATGGATGCCTTCAAACACTCCGAGATCCAACGCATGGAGCTAGGAGGCAACGAGCCCTGGAAGTCCTTCTACGACGAACACCCAGTTACCGTCTCCGAAGGCCGCACATTCGAAGACTCGACGATTAAGGAACGATACGATAGCGACGAGGGCGAGGAGTGGAAGGAGCGCTTATCGTGCAAAGCCGACGGCCGCGAGTACGTCCAGGGCCAGGAGAAGAAGAATAATGCCCCCTCGCGCTCGAACACAACTTCGAAATTGGCCGGCGCGACTGTCGCTGGTGCCGGTGCTGTGGCTGGCGGCCGGGCTGGATCGCCTGCGGCCTCGTCCATCCGCTCCGGTGACAGCTTGCGGGGTGTGCCAGGCAAGAAGGAGCAGAACGAGGCTTACTTTGCGAAGCTGGGGAATGAGAATGCTACTCGCGTCGATAGTCTGCCGCCTTCGCAGGGTGGGAAGTTTACTGGTTTCGGGGGTGGTATGCCTGCGCCCGCTGCGAGTGATCGGCGCACCTCGCCATTTGGCGGATTCGGAGGTTGGGGTGTTGGTGGTGGTGGTGGTGGAGGTGGTCAGCCGTTCGAAGATCTCCAGAAAGACCCGTTGGGCACGATCACTAAAGGACTTGGGTGGTTCACGTCGACGGTTGGCAAGAGCGCAAAACAGGTTAATGATGCTTATCTACAGCCCACGGCTAAACAGGTGTGTTGCGCGTCCTCGCTTGAGAGCTGTTATATATCTTTATAGCTTATTCTGATGCAATTACTGACATGAATACCCAGCTGGCCGAATCCGAGTTCGCGGCCCAGGCCCGCCTCCATGCTGCAACACTCGGCCAGGGCCTGCAGACAGGCGTCCGCGGCGCTGCCGACCAATTCAATAAGTTTGTCGAAGGAGAGGATGGACGCGGTGACGGACGCCGTAATCGCGTGGAGCCTGAGCGCCGAGACTTCTGGGACGACTTCGCCTCAATGGGCGACCAAGAGACACCCAGCCATCGCCGGAGCGCATCACAACGGTCTCAGCGGTCTCAGCGGTCTGACGTTGTTGGTACCGCTGCCATGCGCAAGAGCCCCACTGCCTCCTCGCTGGGTCACTCTACGCCTGGTTTGTCTGGTGAAGCCGGAGAGGGTAAGAATACTACGGCTTCGGCGACGGGTAAGGGAAAGGATGAATGGGATGACAACTGGTAGCATATAAGCGCCTTATTTTACTGTTCTCTGTTTGTTTGTGGGCCGCTGTTATGGTGCCATGACTTTATGTCTCTATCTGCACTACACATATACCTTGGTAGAATCTCCCTCTTTCGCAAAGGGAAGATCAGATGCATAGTGCATAATACTTCATATTAGCTTGACATGGTGTCAATTGGGGAGGCGTGAGAAAAAGGGTGGCAGAAAGTAGAATAATATTGGTACAGTGATGAGATACTATGAGATTGTGATGATATACAAGAAATTTCCTACTGAATCAGCCTCTTAGTTCCGCAAGTACGGCCTTCTGTCTCTGACCAGACATCTTCTCAAACCGGTCAACGCTCATGACAAAAGTACCCCGGCCAGCAGTCAAACTCCGCAAATGCTTGAGATACCCAACCATCTCCTTAAGTGGCACCTTTGCGACAATTGTGCGCGGGCGAGTCGCAGCAGCAGGAATCTCCACGCCAATAGAAGCCGTCTCGAACGGATCAGGCGGCGCGTAAACACGGCTGTGGTCAATGGATGGTAATGCCTCTTCTTCCAGTGCAGATGCAGAAGTCGATGCGTCCGTGCCTGATAGCGGTACCTCCTCATCGAGTGAGATGATATGTCCACCCCGTGAGGAGGAAATGTCGTGCACGACGGAGCCGAGACTCGCCTCGTCAATGCTGATAATCACATCCATCACCGGCTCCATAATTACTGTCCCCGCGCCGAGCTGCACATCCTTCAGCGCGGCGGCGGTGGCTTGGCGTGCGGCGGATGAGAGGGCCGATGTGGTTGTTTCGTTGCCGAAGAGGTCGGCGGCCGGGTTGATGGTTAGTGTGACGCGTGTGTTATGCATTGGGAAGGTGAATTGAGGCCCGCGGGCGAGCGCCGCCACGGCTCCGTTTTGCAGCGCTGTGCGGAACGCGACAAGGTCCATGCCTGGTGGGAGCAATGGGCTAGTTTCTTCTTCGCCACGCGAGGACTGGTCAATTTGGAGACCGGGGGCGCGGATGATGATCTGGTTGCCGTCGTAGGTTTCGGCGAGGAGCGTGGCTTGGTCTACCTCTTGGGACTCGAGGTCTTCGTCCAGTGGCTCTACGACTGCTGTACAGCCTGCTTTACCCTTCCGCCCGGCGATCTCCTTGTCGAAGATCTTGTTTATTGGGCTGGAGGTACCAAGTACGGATTCTCGATAGCCGATCTCGATGCGGCCCATTGTGGCCTTGGCTTTGAGATCGTTGATTAGCCGGTCACGGGCAATTTCGAGATGCAACTCTCCCATGCCGCTGAGAAGCGTCTGGCCTGACTCTTCGTCTATGTTGACGTGGAGACTGGGGTCTTCACGGAGGAGAAGTGCGAGTGATTCTTTCATGCGCTTCTCTTCGCTCAGGCTGTGCGGCTCAACGCTGGTAAAGAATACCGGTGGTGGAACAGCAATTGGTCGGAGTTGGAGACTGGTAAGCGGCTCTGGGGGAGTGGCTTTGTTCCCTGCGTAGGACACGAGGGTATCGCCTGTCCGGGTGTGTTTGAGCCCGACTACGACTCCGATGTGTCCGGCAGCGATAGAGTCCACTTCCACGGCATCGTTGGCGTACATCTTCAACAGACGTGGGGCACGCTCGGAGAGCTGCAGGTTTGTGTTGAAGAGAAGGCTGTTGCGATCCAGCGAGCCGGAATATACCCGTACGTAGACTAGGACTCCGCGCTTTGCGTCGTTGACCACTTTGAATGCCAGTGCACAGCTTTGAAGCTTGCTAATCGCATCTTTCGAGCTAGTCTGCAAGGCCAAATTCTTTTTCTTTGGTTGTTTCCCTTTGGGTTGCGCGGATGCCTTCTCGCTCTGCTCCACAATTAAGTCTCCAGACAGCAGGTCCCGAAGACCTCCTTTGACACCGCCAATACTCACTTCTGGGTCGGGAGCTTCGGGCGGACTAGGGAGAAGATTCACGATGGAATCTAGCAATGGCTGAACTCCCATGTTTCGGAAACTGGCACCGGCAAATAGAGGGACAATTTGACTCCTCTGGTCCAACACGCACCGGCGCAAGCTCTCAATGATATCGGCTGGTGAGACGGTGAGATGATCTTCTTCACACTCAAAGAATTTCTCAACAATGTCTTCGTCATGCTCGCTGAGCAGCTCGACCAATGCAATTCGTGCGCGCCGCAGCTCTGCGGCCAGAGCCGGCTCTTCTGCCTCTAATTGCTGCAGGTCGGCCACTTTCACATTTCGGCCATCCTCGCCTTCCTTCCATCGTAGTCCTTGGAGATGGATTGCATCTGCTACCCCTATAAAAGGGCCATTGCCTCCTTGGAACCACGGTATCTGGCAGACTGCTGGATAGACACCCAAGCGGGTGCTGACTTCTCGCACCGTCCTACCAAATGCGGCCCCGTCACGATCTAGCTTATTCACAAAAATGAGTCGAGGAATGCGATAGGTGCTTGCCTGATTCCAGACCTTCTCCGTCTGCGCTTCGACACCGGCAACACCATCCAATATGCAGACGGCGCCGTCGAGGATGCGCAGAGACCGCATGACTTCGAATGTAAAGTCTGCGTGGCCCGGGGTATCAATCAAATTGATAGTATGCGGGTAAGCAGACCGCGGCGTTTGCTCATTCTGCGCCCCAGCTTGGGGGCCTGACGCTCCATTTACCTCTCCGGGAGGCCAATGGAAGGTAATGGCGGCCGACTGGATAGTGATACCGCGTGCACGCTCGGCGGGAAGGAAATCAGTCACTGTTGAGCCTTCATCCACATCGCCAATGCGCCGTGTAAAGCCACTGTAGAATAACATGCGCTCGGTAGTGGTAGTCTTGCCTGCATCGATATGGGCGATAATGCCGATGTTCCGGGTCCGGTCCAGAGTCTCACCCTGGCATGCAGATGTCGTGGAAAAGCGTTGAAGCTGTGTATAATTTGACCGAAGACCCTTGAGGGAGGAATATGCATTTTTCCACGTCCCATTGCTCGGTGTCTTATATAGATTGGAGCTCATACAGCGCACCCCGGAGGGAAAGCGCAACAACGGAGCGACGACCATTCCAAGGGGAAGCGCTCATGTAATAAGGGACAAAAGATGAGAAATTATGTTGGAATTGGCATTGGGCTGTATGATATTGTTATTGATACAACAGAAGATCAAGCTCTAGAGCGAAGAAAATCGGACCACAAAGCGGACTGGGGATCGCCAGGCTTGGCGCACGCATTCCTCAATGCGTGACTTGACTCCGACACTAGCTACCTCTCCTCAACTACTCAGATCCTTTTGCTCATACCCTTGCTGTTTATTTGCTGTCTTTGTTATGCCAATTCAACGGGTCTCATCTATTCTCTCCGTTTGAAGCTGCACGAGGTAGGTCTTTGAGTGCCTGGAAGCTGGCCATTACTGTGGGGGTCCGATCTTCAGCCGTTTAATACTGACGCCTGCCATGACCAGCCACTCCCCCTTGTCAGCGAATATACTCCTTACATCGACCTTCAATCAAGATGGACTACTCTACCATCTCTACCGACCCGGATCATCCCGTCGGTACCTCACCCTGGGGATCACCGCATGTTGAGCGAGGCGCCTTCCCCACTTCCAGCAATGACATCCCGTCGTCCCCTTTACCCGGCCAGGAGCAATCGGCGGACGTTGGCAGTGGTCACAATGGAGAACCCCAATCTCCAGACCTCTCTGCGCAGCTTCAGAGCGCACAACTAGGAGACCCGGACTATCCCGAGGAGCCATTCGGCGCGCACCAGCCTTCAAACAGCCAGCAACAGCAATCTCCTACTCTTGCACAATTTCAGACCGGAGCACGAGACACACGGCCCCCCGCTCCCGCCTATAGAATCCAAGGAAAGGTCACTGGTCTGGAGAGGACGGGGAAGAAAGACCCAATCCTGCGTTTCGACATCCACGTAGGTCTGCCCCTGGGAGTATTTGCGCCTGTGCCATGGCTAATTCCCGATTTTTCTTTGAGATCAGACCAATATTCCCAAATTTCGCACGACCCAGTACCGTGACGTGCGTCGGACCCATTCCGAATTTGTCAAGCTCGCAGACCATCTAATCTCCGCCAACCCCGAAGCTCTGGTCCCTGCTGTGCCATCGCCAGTGACGCCGGCCGGTGCAGGCACCGAGGAGGATGAAATTCGCATCAAATCGGCGATGCAGAGATGGCTCAATGTTGTGCTAAGCAATGAAATTCTCATTCAAGACGACGAGGTTGTGCTTTTCGTGGAAAGCGACTTTGGCTATAGCCCCGTGCTGCGGATGAAGCAGCCGGCAACGGGCGTGCGACGAAAGATGTTGAAGCAGTTTGCGCCGCCTCCAGATGACACACCCGAGTTGCAAGCTGCTCGCCCAATTGCGAAGATGTTTTACTTGGCATCAATGGATACGAGCCACAAGGTCGACCGAGTTGTCAAGGCCCGTCGTGGTAAGTTATCGGAATTCCAGGCTGTTTTGGTCGCATATCTTGTTCCGATTGAAACTGACTGTTTTAGGGCTTGGATTGGCTGAAGCCGACTTCGGCGTGAAGCTCGGTCAGATGAGCGTACAGGAGACTCATCCCGGCTTGGGCGCCGCTTACCGTAAACTTGGCAAGATTGTTCAGACAGTTGGCGACTACCACGCTGTTCAGGCCACCGCGGAGGCTACCACTCTCGGCGAACCGTTGAGTTACCACTCTTCAGATGCCTTCATTGTGAAGGAAACCCTCACCAACCGCCATATTCTCCTGCGCGATCTACTCCAGGCCCAACAAAGTGCACGGAGCAAACGTGCTGCGGCAGACCGCTTGAAGGTTAGCTCATCGGTGCGTCCGGACAAGGTAGATGAAGCGATCAACGCTCTTGAGGAGGCCCAGAACCATGAAGATTACTTGACCAAGCGGACCCAGCGTGTCACGTCAAACCTTCTCCAGGAGAAGCGCCGCTGGTTTGACCGCACTACCCAGGATCTTCTATCCAGCTTGCGTGAGTACACTCTCCGCCAGATCGAAGCCGAACGTCGTACTCTGGCCACTTTGGAGAGTGTCCGACCCGACATCCGTGCCATTGACGCTTCCGGTGGTCTTAGCCGGCTGGGTCGCGAATCCCACCCAGCGATGCGCCGGCCAAACATGGCTTCGAGCCAGGGCCCTAAGGGTGATTCGTGGAGCGGTGTTCCTCGCCGCAATGACAACATTGGACGTAGCATGAGTGGCAGCTTTACTGCCCCCTCGCTCCCTGACGATGATGATGAGGAGAGCTCTAATAAAGGACGCAACCGAGCTTCCAGTCAGGTTGGGTCGATCGCGGAGGAAGACGATGACCGTCTTGATGCGCGAAATGCAGCCAGCAGACTGGCCACCAGCACGTTCTGATCGTATTTTGGGACGCAACGAGTCTGTACATGTAGCCCCGGCACGAACTAGTGATTCCCCTTTGTTCCTCTTATAACTTTTCGTGTCCTCTTGTTATGTTATCTCCTATGCACAATCAGTATCCTTTTCAAAATTGATTATAGTTGCAATTGTTCTATATGACTTCCAAAATGCCTGGTGATTATATGTTCCCTGCACCAACATGAGGCCTCTCGAATGATATAAAGTCACCAATATTACAACTTCTCATATTTCCCCCACTTATCCCACTTCTTCGCTCCATCCCCCTCGGGTAATTCAAACCAAGACGCCTTCTCACTAAGAAAGATATGATGGCTTGGCAGCGGGATCTTTGTCTTCCCCTCGTCGAGGGTCCCCGCAGCGATTCCGATACTCTTCGGATCACGATGCAGGAGCATACTGAGAGTCGAACCGCATTTGGGACAGAAGGTACGCGTAGCGGCCTGGGTTGCCTGCCGCTCTGTGGGACTGACATGCCATCGGATATCGTCAGTCGCAAAGAATGCCCAGGTTTGATAGGGTGCGCCGGCTTGTTTGCGGCAGGTTGTGCAGTGGCAGTTTACCAGGCAGGTTGGGGGAGTGGAGGCCGTGTAGCCGATGTAATTACAAGCGCAGCTGCCGGAAGCCATTCTCGGTACTTGGATGTTGGAAATTGCAGGATTGCGAAGGTAATCGCGATTCTGACATCATGTGGGGTATCGAAGCTCTACATATACCAAATGGGCATGGACGTGTACCTCTATAATTAGCTACTTTGTACGAATTACAGAGTTGATTTCCAATCTGTACAACATCCCCTCATCGTCCCCCACTTGAAGTTCGGGCCGAATTTGATTTCCAAGCATCTCAACTTCCGATCATACTTGCTTCACTTATATCTATCTGCGAAATATTCTTTTTCTTCTTCATTTTCCAATTCCAACATGTCTCCCAAAGTTTTCGTGTAAGTCATTCCGATGTAAACCGAGCATTCGATCTAACGAGTCCTCGCAGGACTGGCGCAACTGGCTACATCGGCGGCGACGGTCTGTTTGTTATTGCTAACGCCCATCCTGATTGGCAATTCTCAGCCCTAGTCCGTAGCGAGGAAAAGTCCAAACAGGTCACCAGCCAACACCCTCAGATTCGGACTGTGATCGGTGATCTAGACTCGTCCGAGCTGATCGAAGAGGAAGTCAAGAACGCAGACATTGTCTTCCGTATGTTTTTTCAAGCTCATATATCAGGATATCATGTCACTAATAACATATACACAGACTTCGCTAATTGCGATCATGTTGCCGCAGCTAAGGCCATTGCCAAGGGCGCTCAGCACCATACCGCCGAGCGTCCATTGTGGCTGATTCACACCTCTGGCACTGGTATATTGACAATCGAGGACCAGCGCGCTGGCACATATGGCATTGAGCGGCCTAAGCAGTACAACGACTGGGAGGGCGTCAGTGAGCTAGTCAACCTCCCATCAGACGCCTTCCACCGTAACGTGGATGAGATCATCCTCGGGATTGGCGAGCAGACCCCGGCCAGTGTAAAGGTCGCAGTTGTATGCCCACCTACCATCTACGGTCTTGGCCGTGGCCCTGGTAACACGAAGAGTATCCAAGCCTACTTGCTCGGCGCTGCGGTGCTGAAGCGCAAGCAGGGCTTCCTGGTTGGAAAAGGCGAGAACGTCTGGCACCAGGTCCATGTCCATGATCTGAGCAATGTCTACCTGGCTCTGGGCGAGGCAGCCTCGGTGGGAGGTGGCAAGGCTACCTGGAATAACGAGGGCTACTACCTCGCCGAGAATGGATCCTTTGTATGGGGTGATATCGAGCGTGCAGTTGCACAGGCTGCTTTTGATAAGAAGCTTATTCCTTCTCCTGATGTTGAGTCTCTCGATGGCGCTCAGACGACTGAGGTACTTTCTGTTGGTACCTATGCCTGGGGCTCCAACTCCCGTGGTAACTCAATCCGTGCGCGCAAGCTCTTTGGCTGGACACCTCAGAAGCCTAAGCTGATTGATTTCATTCCTGAGATTGTTGAGGTTGAGGCTAAGGCTCTTGGCTTGCTGTGAACTCGGTCTTATGTTAATTCGTGAAAATTGACGTATTAAAGAGCACATTATTTGAGACCTTTGAATTAGGATATGCAAATTACAATGTAGTCCAGTGTTGTTTTGATGTGTTCAATGTTTATTCGTCAATGCATTCCTTTCCTCGACGTTTTTATAAGGTGTGGGGAATGCTTTAACACTAGGCCACAACAAAAACCTCGCTTCCTGTTTAGGGCCTAGGGGGGCCATATTCCCAGTTCGACAAAAAGAAAAAACAAGCGGCAAAATAGAATCGTCAGCACTAGGACTCGAACCTAGGTTCACGAATGAACTACTTGGCGGAAGGATCTCATAAAAGAAGCCATTCGAAAGTAGCGCCTTAACCACTCGGCCATACTGACTTGATAAGAAAATTGGCAGCTCTTCGCCTACTAGGGGCTGCACTTGACCTCTCAGTAGGGTTAGACGCCTGAGACCTCCTGCCAAGAGTTCAGGTGTACCTTGTTACTTTAATGTCAGTAACATCTGCTGGTGAAGTATTCGATTTAAGAGAAACCCGACATAGTATGCAGACCACGTGCGGGCCTTATTCAATATAAACAATTTTACAATGTTTATCTATATTGCAATATGAACAATGACCTATTCACCTGTTGACCTAGTTATTCACTCCCATTTAACGGCTTAATCAATTGTAGCTTCTATTGTTCCTTTGATTGAAGAGCTAGGTCATTATTGAAGAGCTTGAATGGTAATCAATCATAAAAAAAATCAACGAGGCACACATGAACTCTTGGCGGGGGCCTCAGGCGTCTAGCCCTCTGGAGGAAGCTTTGACCATCAGCATCTTCTGTCTTCACCTTACACGCCTTTGGCTTCTGCGACCATCTTGTACTCAACGAAATATCTTTGCTGGTACGCTTGCTATGCGCATTATTTTCCTTCTTTACTTATCCCCCTTCATTCGCCGCGGGCGCTTACATTCATTCTTCCGGGCTCTTACAGAAACGACTGCATGAGTTGCAACCTTTCAGCGTCTAGTTCCACCGTCGTAACCCCTCGTGTCTAACACGGCTACCTATCATGGCGCCTGGGTACGGGCATGGTGGCAAGCGGAAACGCATCGATCGCTCATGGTCCGGCGAGTCAGGGAGCAATGACCTGCGACCTTCACCCCATCGCCCTGGGACCCTCAATATGGCACATCACCCTACCAATCCCGGACATCAATCCCCCACTCCTCGAGAGCAGAATGACACACGCGACAGATCTCGCCGACAATCGCACCGCAACCGGGCTGGTTCCCGCCGCGGATCCCACGATGGTCAGAATTTTTCGAATTCGCAGCACAGAGAACCGAACGCGATGTCTCCTCCCGCAATAAATCAGCCCAGGGAACTTGCCGACCCCGTGCCGTATAATGGCGATTCGGCCGCGTCAAGACCTACCCCTTCTCCCGCGCCGAATACTCCTGCTCCGCAGCCGCAATTCAACCCGCCGTCTCGAGCTAGCTCAGAGACTGTCACCCCCCACCCCTCTCTCCCACCCCCGCCTTATGATTACGAATATGTGACCGATAGCGCTGTTGAGGAATGGGCTTCAGCGGGCAAACAAAAGGTAGTCGAAGCAGGGACTGCGGCTCGCCTGGAACAGGATCTGGCTCGGCTTGCATCTGTCTACCAGGAACTTATTCACTCCGCGATCTACGGTCGACTGTCACCATCAAATGCAGGAAATGCCGTCAAAAATATCATCGGTGAAGAATCTGTGTCCCAGGATGTGGATATGGACAGTGGGAAGCCTTTGACCCAAGGAATCGATCCGCGCTCCTTGTTCCTCGATACGCTTTCCATCGTGACTGACGCTGACCCCTCGAACGCGGCCCTCAAACCACTTGTATTTGCGACAGGTATTGATCCTTCTTTAATGCGCCTTCAGCTTGAAACTCCGTTGTTGCAGTCCCTGGGGTTGGTTCGCGAAACCTTTGCGCGAATGGGAATTCGAAAGCAGACCAATCTGCTCTACCGACAGTCCAACTACAATCTTCTTCGGGAAGAATCCGAGGGATACTCGAAACTTATCACCGAGCTATTCACCACAAGCAACAATGAGCCGCCGTCGAGTGAAGTGGTCGTGGATACATTTGAAAGAGTCAAGGCTATGATTGGCGCATTTGACATGGATGTCGGCCGTGTGCTAGACGTCACGCTGGATGTGTTTGCTGCGGTTCTTGTCAAGCAATACCGTTTCTTCGTGAAGCTTCTGAGGGTTAGCTCCTGGTGGCCGAAGGAAGAAGCCGTACACAGACTAGAGCAAGGCTATCGTCACTCCGGTATTCCGAACTGGGCACTTCCAGGATCAACTGGATGGATCACAACCGATGAGGAGCGATCCGCTACTATGTGCGCGAATGAGGAGCGTGACAGCCAATTCTGGGATCGAGTGAGGGAAATCGGACTTCAAGCCTTCTTCGAGATCGGCCGCAAACCGGTCCCGGGGGCGGAAGTGCAACGCAATCTTTCGGAAATTAACGGTTCATCATTTGAAGAAGATGCCACACGATCATGGCTCGAAGAGACTGGCACTATACCCCCGAAGGGCAACAGGGTTGCAGCACAACTGCTTGGTTTCAAATTGCGATTCTATTCTTCTTCAGCTCGAACCAAAGACGACGTTCTCCCTGACAACCTCATTTACCTTGCCGCCTTGCTCATCAAAGTTGGCTTTATCTCTCTGCGTGACCTTTATGCTCACCTCTGGCGATCTGACGACACCATGGAGATTCTGAAGACCGAAAAAATGGCAGAGAAAGCCGAAAGAGTGAAGGCTAGCCGACCAGGTGGCGGAATCAACGCTTTGATGATGGCCGGTGCTTTGTCGGACGACACAATCCCTCCTTCCCGCTTGCGCGACGAGCCGCGAGTGGCGACTCCTAGTAAAGACC